TTTTTTTTTTTTTTTTTTTTTTTTTTTTTTTTTTTTTTTTTTTTTTTTTTTTTTTAAATGGCTGCCCATGCAATTTCCAATTCTTCCTTCAAGTGCTAGAAATCATTTATATATTCTTTTTAATAGTCGCAAATAATGAAAGGAGACCTTAGACTTTATACTTGGTCTCCAGGAAAATAGCCAGGAAAAAACAACACATGCAGTACTATTTATTTCTCTTTTCAAATTTTGTAGATGTAGAATGATATAATATTGTTAAATTTGTATATAAGTTCTCGTGATTTTATTTTGGACTAATTCAAAAAGTCTTATGTCAATGGAGATATATTTCTTATAGTCTTATGTCAATGGAGATATATTTCTTATAGTCTTATGTCAATGGAGATATATTTCTTATAAACTCACGATCATTTTCTAAATTAGCGAACGTGGGAGTCCATCCCAACAATCCTCGACATTTATTTCATTAATACATTTCAATATTTAGCTCTATCAATATATGAAACCATACAGTGTAGAGTTTGGAGGAGTTTCATTCTTTTGATTTGATAAAACCCTCTTGAACTATTTATGACGTAGAAGTAACTTTAGGGGATAATTTTTCTCAGGTTCATTGAAAAGTATGGAACTCATATAATCGTTGGGCTTAGCATCGGCGGGCACGACGTGGTCCTAGTAAGGCAAGACAAGTCCTCCAATTTGGAAGCTTCAGAGCTGAAAAGCCACTTGGAAGAGCTGGGAGATCAGCTTTTCACCGGCGCCTGCACTTTCCCTCCTCCACATTCAAAACCCAAAGACCATCACAAAACCAAGGTACCTACTTCCTTCTCATTCACACAAAGTGCTACACTTTGCAAGAACAAGTTATAAAAGGCATATATTATTACTGCAGCTACCACAGGCCTTCAACTTGTTTGATCCAAAGCTCGTGGCTTATGCCAACTTCTCTTCCGTCAGTGCAAAAGACGTAAGTTCATATATATACATATATCTCAAAAGCTTCTATGTAAGTTTTGTGATTTATGAGTCTTTGTTTGTGGATTGTTTTCATGTAGGGAATAATAGTAATAACTTCAAAGAAAGGAGGGAGTCCAACAGCAAGTACCCATTGTGAGTGGCTCCCAACCGTGCTCGAATCGCCCGACGCAATTCATTTTCAGTTCATTCCGATCATCTCCCTTCTCGATCGCGTTCCTGGCAAGGGCTTTCTTTCCCATGCCATTAATCTTTATCTTCGATGTACGTATACAATTTCTTTCCCGTCGCTCTCATCTCGTGTTAATTGGCGTTTCTTTGGATCATCATACGCGTTTTTGTTCGGTTGTAGACAAGCCTCCTATAGCAGATTTGCAGTACTTTTTGGACTTTCAAGTGCACAAGATTTGGGCACCCATTCATAATGACCTTCCTTTAGGACCAACTCCCAACATTACTACTTCTCCTTATCTTCAACCCAACTTGATGGGTCCAAAACTTTATGTAAATACTACTCAGGTAAACCATTGCTATCTATTTAATGATATCATACTATAATATATAGTTCAAATTTGATTTGATTCATTATTATTTACAGGTTACATCAGAGAACAAACCTGTCACAGGCTTGAGATTGTATCTAGAGGGCATCAAATCTAATAGGTAATAAATATTTACTACTCACATTTGACTTTTTTGGTCGGAATTCAATCTTCTGACTTTTGATCGATCATAGGTTATAATTTAAAGCGGTTCGATTTGCAGGTTGGCAATTCATATCCAACATCTTCAAACTACTCCTATTCTTCTCCAAAACAATATCACTCAACATAACCCTCCCCTCTGGCATTCTTCGCTACACGTCGCCGATGATCGCTACGTCGAGCCTCTCAATCGCAACAAATTCTCTTACGTCTCTACAGCTCCGGTCACGTACGACCCCACCTGGGCCACTGCCACCCCAACCCCAGCAGCCTTCATAGTCACCGGAGCCCAACTCCACGTCGTGAAACATCACGACTCGAAGGCTGCTCTCCATCTCGGCCTCCTCTACTCCAAGGTCTCTAATTCCTACATCGTTCAAACGAATTGGGCACGCCACTCCTCCGACATCTCCCCTAAGTCTGGCATCTTCTCTGCCATCAGCACCTCCCTCTCTGGCGCCTCCTCTGCCCCCAAGGAGAAGCCACCCGACCCCGCTACCGTCATTGTCGATTCGGGAGTGTTTCACCACGGCCCACCGGTGCCACTTCAGGCTCAGAAGCTTGTGAAATTCGTAGAATTGTCGGAGATGCGTAAAGGGCCGCAGGACAGTCCGGGGCATTGGGTGGTGATCGGAGCTAGGCTGAACTTGGAAAATAGTAAGATTTGTTTGCATGTTAAGTTCGGTTTGGTGCATGTGGTTTCAGAAACTAGTGCTGATGAGCAATGAAGTTGAAAAGAGAATAGAAGCTGGTGAGTTTAAGCCAGTCTCTTATATATGTAATTATTAATTTAATGTAGTGTGATCTCAGCCAATCCAAAAATGGGTGATTATGGAGTTATTATAGAAGATGATGATCAACATGGTAGACAAACAACGAGCTATGGGGAGAGGTGTTAAAAGATCGATCACTGACCCAATAAATCTAGATGATCACAAATAAATATGGCAGCATCTCTAAAAAGTATTCTATAATCTCGAGTGAGTGTTTTCGGCAACGAGTTAGCATAACAAAATATGCATATAATTTCATACAAAGCTTAACAAAATATAAAACAACAATACTTCCATCATTTTAGGAAAACACTATATATACATAAAACATTTTTTTTACAAGGACAGATCAGATCGTGACTAGGCGTTTGTTGTTTGACGACGTCGACATGGAGAGTAGAAACCTTAATCTATGACCCTGTTGAATCATCACATATATTTGTCAATATTTTTTTAAAAAAATTTATTTTCAGTTACAAACATTAGCCGCTTGTTCTTGTTCATGGTGATTCAGAGAGTGGAGAGCAGTCTCAGAGAGCAATATTAGCATTGGGATTAAAATCTAATTTTGTTACAAATTAAATGCAAGTTAGTGGAATGAACGGAGTTGGCTGTCTCTTTTTGTTACCGTTAGAAACAGAGCATTTATGGAAAAAAAAAAATACTCCTCTGTTTCGCAGAGTGGCACTAAGAAGATGATTGCCCTCAGAATTTCCTTAATCAGATTTCAATCCAACGGCATCGGAGTGGTTTAGGATGTGAATCAATTTAGGAAAATTTGAGTTAGAGCCGTTAATAAATACCCTTCACCTCTCGGCTCTCACTGCCGCTTCACTTACTCATCTCTGTTTGCTTGCAGCTCAAGGTTTTACGTGCTCTGTTTTCTGCGATCGAGCTATGGGTTTGAGAAGACTTAAAAACGAGATTTCTTTTCTTGATTTGGACCTTGGAGTTCACATTCCTCGAAGAAAGAGGGGTTCTTCCGGCTCTGCAATTACCAAACATTCAATCTCTATGATGGATGGCGCTACCATTCTGTTTGCATTCTCCAACTCTGTCACTCATATCCTTTCCTCTTCCTATCTTCCACTTCGAACCACTAACACAAAACCCATCACCAACACAAAACCCATCACTGAAAGAAAACCCATCACTGAAAGAAAACCCATCTCTGAAAGAAAACCCATCTCTGAAAGAAAACCCATCACTGAAAGAAAACCCAGGAAGAAGAGGTGTAAGCAAACCCCCTTTCCGACCACTCCGGACATGCCGGCGGCGATGAGAGATCGAATTGGGGAGATGGGGGCGTACCAAATCCAACTGGCAATTCAAAAACAACTGCAAGATACTGATATGAATAAGAATCATGGGCGACTATCTTTCCCTGCAAAGAAACTGAAAGTGGATTTTGCAACGGAAGAGGAGAGGAGGGTACTAAAGCAACAAGAAAACGGGGGGAAAAAAGGGATGAATGTAATGATAGTGGATCCTCTTCTCCGAGAGAGCAGCATTTGCTTGAAGTTGTGGAAGATTGGGAGCGGGGATTCCTACTGTTTAATGACACAATGGAATTGGTTAGTGGAACAGAATGGGTTCAAAAGCGGAGATCACGTCCAGCTTTGGAGCTTCAGAAAAGATGAATTTGAGGCTGAAACTCAAACCATGGTTTCTCGTCTCTGTTTCGCCATGGTTAAGCTTGATGCCACCACTGCTTCTGCTTGAAGCTCTCATCTTGGATGCTGATAGGAGTGGAGCTGCTTCTTAATTTCATGTGACCAACCAAGACCGACCAAGATTACCATTTTTTTTTTTTTTTTTTTTTTAATAAGGTACGTATAATAATAGTATCATGTTTTTTGGTGACAACAACTATTGTATTGTACTCGTTGTCGGGCTCTGTTATATTTTGTAAAATTAATGAGATTTTTTGCCTTTTCGAAATAAATGTTCATGCTCGTGTTTCCGCATCTCAACAATAATAATAACAATAGAACAACGCCAATATAGCTACACATCTTCTCTTTTAACTACTACAAATTAATACCAACCATATAAATAGAGTGTTTAAACATTTAATAATAACATTTTTTTTTTCATATTTATTATTTTAATTAAAATCTGGTTATTCAAAAGATCCATGAAAGATTGCATAATTAAAACTAAAATCATGTAAGAAAACCCATAAAGATTCATTATACAACAGGAAATTACACAATCTGATCGGTTCTTTAATAACTATAACAATTTGTCTCAAACTCCACTGACCATATTATAGAAAATATAATGTAATAGACACATTTCCAGATCTCAAGCTTGCTTTTTCATCACCATCATCTTAGAACTCAAGGACACAATCATCTTAGAACTCAAGGACACAGACATCATCATCTCCTTACTATTACTTTAACCATTAGAGAACCTTATTAAAATACTTCATAAAATTATTGACCATTAAAGCTAGTAGAAACTCAGCTTACCAAATTTGTGTATCAGAGATGACACTGGGGAAGACTCCATCTTCTCCCTTTTGATTTGAATAAGCTTCTCAGAAACGCACCATGGAAAACTCAAAAAATGATCTCTTTGCATACCTTCATTGTAACGACCCCAGAAGTTCGGGTGATACGTAACATGGTACCAAGCGGATGCTTTTGCATATTCATCGTCTTCGTCTTTGTTGTTGTTGTAAATAGACTTACTTCCCTTCTCGTTGAACCAACCCCTAGCCTCCTTTCTTAGCGACCTCATGGCAAGGCTAATTTGTTCCATGTCATTCCTTTTATCGAAAGACTTTCCCATCCTCAGAATATTTCCACTCACTAATTCAGGTTCTGTTTCTATACCATAATAATCCATTAGGTTACCCAACTTGAAGTCGTACATGCTTTTGTAGTCAAAAGCTTCACTTAAATAATTTTCAAAACCCATAACTTCCATGTCTGGATCGTAGCACTTGGCAGCAACTTCCCTAGTGAAGGTTTCAATGTTGTTGATGTCTGAAGAAACATCTTTCACTCCTCGAAAAAGCTTCCCGATAACACCATTCGATGTATAAGTCCGTTTATTAGGTTTTTCCATGAAGTCTGGATACTCATGGACACGAAGAGAGCGCGGCAAGTTTGCTGGCACACCAGTTTTCGGGAAGTCAACAGCAATAGAGAATAGTTTTGCAAGCTCAATGCATTCAGCACTCATTGCCTTCTTAGGCTTCTTATCAGCAAAGACAGTGTGAGCATTTGCAATGCCACCAAGACCATCATTCACCATGTAGTTGGCAAAGTATTCCTGCACTTCCTGTATTCAAATGATACCATGTTATTCAAACTTCACAATACAATCTGTTCGAATCTGTGAATCAAATCAGCAATGTATATTATTAGAAAGAAAATGATGAAGTGTGTGTTTGCACTAGAAGTAAACAGTTCCTGAAAGCATACCTCAATTGTCACATCATGATCCAACTGAATGGTTGGTGCAGGCTCGTAGCTCATAGGTTTAATTGGTCTAATACAAGTCAACTCCGGATCCCAACAAACAAAGTATAAGTCACCATCTAAATCACTCCCAGAGCATTCATTTGGGTGAGGCCTAACATCACATATTACAAATATTACTATAACATATATGTGAAGTGCATGAATTTGCCAAACATATGAACATGAACCCGTGAAATGTGATGAATACATAAACACTTCATCCACAATAAGCGTGCTTACCTTTTCCCTTTCTGTGGAAAAACAACACAATCCACCATATGATGCAGAGTTTTCACATCAACAGCATCGAGCACACGCACATCCCCTGGGTGTAAACAGGGATTTTTAGCAACCACCACTTTACCTTTGACAACAAAATTACTTTCGCTTGATCTCCCAGGGACAGAGCAGTGAATAAACACCTGCCCATACTCAAGGGTCCGGGTTTCATCCAGGCAACCCATCATTGTCCTTCCCTCAGGAACAAATATCCTTGATTTGGTCCTCAAATCTAACAATTTATCTGCTCGAAACGTCCGTAGCATCATATTTAGAAAAGGCTCTTCGTGTGGATTGTAAAACAAAAGCATGTCCTTCAGAACACTAGTCATTTCCCCCGGGGACATCAATTCCAACACTTCTAATGCCTTTGATGGATCTCTTAGAATAGAATCAAGTTGATCAACAGCCTTCTTTTGTTGTTTCACAAAAACGTCGTCCTGAATTCCAAGAGTGGACAGAAGGTTGATCACCTGACGGTTGAGAAAACAGGGTTGGTACTTGCTCCATGACAAAACATCAAGTTGAGTGTCAAGTGACATATACTTCAACATACTCTTTCTTAATGACAATTTCTTTTTGGATGTGGGATCAACAGCAACAACGCCCTTGTATCCAGCATATCGGATCTGGAATGCAGATGGTGTATGACTGATCAAACCACATTTTTCAGCAACCATCTCAGCCAATGCTTCGGATATCTTTCCAATCCCATCAGAGAAACAATATTTGATGTTCTTCCGTTCAACTTCTACATCAGGAATAACTTCAATTTCATTTTCTTCAACACACAAAGTTTTTCTGGACGAGCCAAAAGATTGACCGAGTCGAGCAGCATATTTCGCCACATTTCTTATCTCACGAAAGTCACCCATCCACTCCCTGATATCTGCTGCATTAAGCCCCTCCCTCGAAGCAAACATCCAAAACGAATTTTCACGAAGTTGACTTGCCGAGAAAGCAAGAAACTCAAACTTCTTGCCACCAATGACTATACCATTTCTTAAAACAGATAATATTCGATCATAAACCCTAGTTCTTTCAATCTTTTCAGTAGACGTACGGGGAGACAGATCACTGGAATAAATTTTATCCAACTCCTCATCAACAAAAGAAACGCGAAGAAAATTATCTATATCATCAATAAAGCGACGTACAACTCTGTTAGAAAGATTCGCCTCCGGACCACGAAAATACACCTTAGCAGGTGTAATTTGAACCCTATGCACATAGACGAGGCTATCATCCAAAGAAATATTAGCTTTCCATGGAAGCTGCATAGAGCTGCAGAATGACAGATATTGCTGCTTGAGCCATTTCTGTGGTTCATAGCAACATTCCTTCAAACTAAACAATTTTTCTAGGGCGTACTCAATGTAGTCAGAACGAAATCGAGTGGGATCAACCAGGCGGAAGAATTTATCATCCAGCGCTGATCCAGGAAGATAACCATGTTGAACTAGGGCATTGATTTTGAACAAAATTTTATAAGGGATATGAAATGGTTGCGGTGGAGTAACGATAGGAACGAGATTTGAAGTGGAAGAGAAAGCAGAACCTGTGGACAGTTTGAAAGGGCCATAGATTTCTTTATAGCCGACCAATGTTTGGAAGAAAGAAGGAAGTTGATCTCCAGGAGAAACTTCGAAGCACAGAGCGAAGGATTGTCCAATACAAGACGATGGAGTGAAATCCACATCTCTGATCCAGCGGAAACCAGTTGATTCCTTGGAATAGAATTGAGAGGAAGAAGAAGAAGAAGAGGATGGACATTTCTTGAAAATCCGTGGAGCACCCTGCAACTGCCAATTAAACGATTCGAACAAAATCAAATATAATTTGAAGGGTGAAATTTTCTTTTAATTTTTTATTATTTTAGATTTTTTATTTTAGTAATTATTAATTAATTAAGCATGTAGTATAGTTAAAGAGTTCTACATAACTTGAATTGTACCCCAAAAATAAATGCCCACACAAATATGAACCTAACACAACTCTTATTATTCCTAATATACTCTATTTAATATATTAAAAATGTTTGTAAATAGATTTTTAAGAAATAAAGATTAAAGTACGCTACATTTTCGGATAAATTTCAATGAAGTCATAAATTTAAAACGCTTTCAAGAGTTTTTTTTTTAAAAAAAAAAAAAAAAAAAAAAAGTTTTTGTTGACATGAAACATTAAATGATATTTTTGAGGGAGAGAGTAGTTGTATTTTTATTAATTTAACAATATAAATCATTTAATAAACACTTTTGTTTTTGACATGAAAGAAGTTAATGTTCGTATAGTTGTAAATTTAAAAGGAAAAAGTAAGAAACCTGAATGAGAAAAAGATTGGAAGATGAATTGTGAGGGCAACGAAGCTGAACTCCCAGAATGTTCTCAAACCGGAGCTCCATTTTGTAGTCATCATCTTCAACCCCATAACTCAAATAAAACCACAATTTCCTCATTCCATTTCCATATTCCACGCTCCAATCTTCCCCTCTCCAAATCACCCTCATTTCATCCTTCCAAATCACGCTTCCCAACTGCACCCTCACCTTCTCCAATCTCTCCAATCTCTCCACCCTCATCTCCCTCTCCCTCTCCCTCTCCACTCTCCTCGCCTTCAGATACCACCTTCCAAACCACAGCCGCTCCTCCGCCTCCGCCTTCTCCACCACGTACTCCGCTGCCACTTTGCTCCTGAATTCCACCCTCGCAGATGTCAACCGGGATTTTTCGTACTTGGGTTTCGAAATCCTCACCTTCGATACCGTTCCCTCTCCGGTGTGATTCTCCATAAATTCCTTCACCTCGCCGGCGCTCACCTCTCGCCCGAATCCAAAAACCTCGATCGTCTTCCCCTTCGTACCCATTTGCTTTCAACTGCACAAAAAAAAAAAAAAAAATCCTTCATGTTCTCAGCATAATATTTGTAATTGTTTTTTTTTTAATAGTGAGAGAGAGAAACATGTACCAGAAAAATGGGAGAACTGCAAATCAAAAGAAATGGGAGGACTGAATAGCAAAACAAAAAGCACTGAAATTGAGATTATGAATAAAGCTGTGGGGGAAAATAGGAAGCAAGTATATGCAATTTATAGACCATAGAGAGGAGAGGAGATCTACTTTAATCAAGTCTTTCAACACTAGTCAAGGTCATCATCTTCTCACCCAAGTTTTATTTATGCCTTCCTGCATTCATTTATTATTTATATATATATTAATCTTTATTTCTATCTTGTCAACATTACTAATATTTTTTTTACAAATTTATAAATATATGAACCATATGAAATTTTTTATTTCATAATTTTTTAATAAAAATCCACATATTTATCTTAATTAGTCCATCCAATTATATATATATAAGCACACTATTAACTAATATTTTGATTTATAGTTTATGAAACTATATACTAAATGATTTATTACATCCCTAGAAGGATGTTTCCTTTTGTCCCTTTTGGAAATGGGTCCATATAGAGAGAAAAGGGGCCCCACGCGTTTGAGATGGAAAAATGTTGTACTATGTTGCATTGAATATAATCAACGCATTATTTAGGAATATGGTCGGAAACTTACATAAAAGTAGAGTGACGCACTATTTTTTAACTACTGGGCCCTATTATATAGTTTTTGTGGACATTATTTGGTTTTTATACCATTGTCTTTGTATTAATTTAAACAAAATTAAGTGGGATACAATAAGATATTAATCTTCATTCCTTAAAAGACAAATTATTTGATCCCTACTTAAAATTTTAATTTTTTTAAAAAATTAATGAATTTATTAGATATGAAATTAAATTTTAAAAAAAATTATATAAATTTTTAATTTTTTAATTTGTATGAGTTGAGTTCATGTCAACGTCAGAATTACAAAAGGTGGAGAAAGATTTGGAAAATTTCTCGTCTTGGTCTCCTTGGTTTAACGGTTTATCGCCAGGTCAGCAATCTTAATAACTGAATCTCTTTTTTTCTTTTTCTTTTTTCTGTTTTTTAAAAATATTTATGAATTATTTTCTTCTTTATATTTCTTTTCCTTTCCTACTTTTCTAGAATGTTCTTTCCTTTTTATATAGCATTTGTTATTGAGTTTTATTTTATTCTCATTTATATATGATTAAATGCTTCTATTTATTTATTTATTTATTTATTATTTGTCGTTTGAAGTAATTTGACGTTAATAACAACATTTTGTTAAAAAAACATAATCAAACATATAAATATTTTAATTTTAGATGAGTTTTACAAAAATAATATATATATATATATATAAATCAAAAGCTTTTTATTTGAGATATAATATTTAAAGTATATATTATTTATGAATATATCTTAATATTCTTTATTTATAATTTGGTTTATAGTATATTTTATTTTATTCTCTATATTTAATTAGTTTATATTTTCTTTATTTAAATGTATTGATGGGTAGCTTGTATTTTATTTAATGCTTATGAATATCAATGAGAATACACATTTTCAATTTCGATTTCAATTCCAGTAACACATTTAAATTAAAAGATAATGTATAGAAACCATTAATATTTTTAGTGCATTTAATATTTCTCACCAGGACAACAACATTTTTATTGTCTCTCAATTTAAAACAAATATAACTCTAGACTTTAGTAATCAATTTAATAAGTATGAAAAAGTAACCCAAATTTAAAAACTTCTAAATGATTATTTTTCATTATTATTATTATTATTAATTTGAAGAGTAAGAATGAGGACCAAGAAAAGAACCAAACTTAAGCCACAAGTTTCCAAATAAGAAGGTAACTGGAAGCAGAGGTGCAGAATTTTGATTCATTTCTCTATATGTCTTTTTAACTTCCAAGTACCAAAAAAGGACATAAAAATGGAAAAGAAAGGGCTTCGAGTGGAGGGCAAACATGGAAAAAAAAACTGTGTCAATTATCATTAAAAGTTTTCCTTTTTTAAAAAATGAACCCAAAATTATTTTTAAAAAATGAGAGTGAAGCAGGACTTTGACTGGCCCGCATGGACTTTAACTACATATTTATTAAAAGGATGAAATTAAATACTTAGGAGAACAAATATATGATTAAAAAAACAAAGAACTAAATTTTATAATTGAATGTAGAGAGAAGAATTGATGATGTGGACTAAGTCTTCCAGTCAATCTTTGGTAATGAATAAAAGAGAAGTTTAGGAGGGATGATTAGGAGACACGTCAGTTTTCAAATTCCAACTATATTGGTATGTGATTCGTGACGACCCAAGGGGACCCAGTTATTTAGGGTCCTATCTCAACAAAACATTAATTCACAACATACGTTAATGGACTATAACGTTGTTGTCACAAAAAAAGACATATTATCATATATACTTCACTAAAAACATGCCAATCTAGGTCAGACTCGGCTGTATCGATCAAAATTACGTGGAAAATTAAGAATCAGCTTCAAGCAGAAGCAGTGGTGGCATCAAGCTTAACCATGGCGAAACAGAGACGAGAAACCATGGTTTGAGTTTCAGCCTCCAATTCATCTTTTCTGAAGCTCCAAAGCTGGACGTGATCTCCGCTTTTGAACCCATTCTGTTCCACCAATGAATTCCATTGTGTCATTAAACAGTAGGAATCCCCGCTCCCAATCTTCCACAACTTCAAGCAAATGCTGCTCTCTCGGAGAAGAGGATCCACTATCATAACATTCATCCCTTTTTTCCCCTTGTTTTCTTGTTGCTTTAGTACCCTCCTCTCCTCTTCCGTTGCAAAATCCACTTTGAGTTTCTTTGCAGGGAAAGATAGTCGCCCATGATTCTTGTTCATGTCAGTATCTTGCAGTTGTTTTTGAATTGCCAGTTGGATTTGGTACGCCCCCATCTCCCCAATTCGATCTCTCATCGCCGCCGGCATGTCCGGAGTGGTCGGAAAGGGGGTTTGCTTACACCTCTTCTTCCTGGGTTTTCTTTCAGTGATGGGTTTTCTTTCAGTGATGGGTTTTCTTTTAGTGATGGGTTTTGTGTTGGTGATGGGTTTTCCGTTAGTGGTTCGAAGTGGAAGATAGGCAGAGGGAAGGACATGAGTGACAGAGTTGGAGAATGCAATCAGAATGGTAGCGCACTCCATCATAGAGATTGAACGTTTGGTAATAGCAGAGCCGGAAGAACCCCTCTTTCTTCGAGGAATGTGAACTCCAAGGTCCAAATCAAGAAAAGAAATGTCGTTTTTAAGTCTTCTCAAACCCATAACTCAATCGCAGAAAACAGAGCACGTAGAACCTTGAGCTGCAAGCAAACAGAGATGAGTAAGTGAGGTGGCAGTGAGAGCCGAGAGGTGAAGGGTATTTATTAACGGCTCTGACTCAAATTTTCCTAAATTGATTCACATCCTAAACCACTCCGATGCCGTTGGATTGAAATCTGATTAAGGAAATTCTGAGGACAATCGTCTTCTTAGTGCCACTCTGCGAAACAGAGGAGTGTATTTTTTTCCATAAATGCTCTGTTTCTAACGGTAACAAAAAGAGACAGCTAACTCCGTTCATTCCACTAACTTGCATTTAATTTGTAACAAATCAGATTTTAATCCCAATGCTAATATTGCTGTCTGAGACTGCGCTCCACTCTCTGAATCACCATGAACAGGAACAAGCGGCTGATGTTTGTAACTGAAAAACATTTTAAAAAATGTAGCTACTGTAATGCTAATACTAAGAAATACATTTGAAATTAAACAATATTGACAAATATAAATTAACTTGCGCTTATTAATAAGAATATGATTTTACATTTATGTTTTAAGCTCCATGTATATGTATATATGTGTAACAAAAGATAGCTTATTTACATTCTCAAATACAAATGGGCCTTTAGATGCGCTCTCCGAAAATTAGCCCAATGGGCTTTCTTAATGCAATCTCCGGAAGCCCATTGGGCCTTCTTAATGCACTCTCCAAAAGGTCTAAACCCAAGAACATCAAAGCACTTAAAACCCTAACGCGTAGAACCTTCTAGGCGCATCCAGAACCCGAAATTTTGCACGCCCTTTCTTCCAATAGCGCCACATAAAAGCACCTCTTCTCGTCGCCTTCCTACTCCAAAACCCTAATTCTCCGAACACAGGCGTTGCACGATCAATCAACTCAAAGACGAATGGCGAAGCGATTAATTCCATTCTTCAATCGTGTCCTGATCGAGAAAATTGTTCCTCCTTCCAAAACCACCGCCGGCATTCTTCTCCCAGAGAGCTCCACCAAGGTATTTGCAATGTAGCATTAATTTTATCTGTAGTTTCAATTCAATTTTCCTTGTCCTTACTCAAAGACGAATGGCGAAGCGATTAACGGATGTTTTCTGCGACAGTTGAACTCCGGTAAGGTGGTTGCAGTGGGTCCTGGTGCACGGGATAGAAACGGGAATCTGATTCCGGTCAGTGTGAAAGAAGGTGATACCGTTCTTTTGCCTGAATATGGAGGCACGTCGGTGAAGCTTGGAGAGAAAGAGTATGATTTTAAACAGTTTTAACTTAGTTTTATTTCTTTGTTTGCAGAAATGGTCGTCTGCGATATAATTCGTCCTGCACTTTTTATTATGCTTGTTTTGTTTGCATTTTAAGTTCACTAACGTAAACTCATGTCTCTGGGGCCCCATCTCCGATTCTTAATGAATTTGAATTCTAGTTAAACTAATTAATAAAAAAAAAAGTTTAAGAGCTAAATTTGGTTTCTACAGAGTTATGGGATAGAACTTAACTTGTTGTGTTAAAACTAAGTATTTCAAAGTCCAAGAGAGAAAACATAAAGCTGAATCAACTAAAATGTACAGGAAGATTTAGGGCTAAGAGTGAATTTAAGATGATTTGTAGAAAGATTTAAAGCTAGTGCATTAACTCTTATATTTGATTAGATAATGAACAAGTGTTTTTGAAACTTTCAGAGCATAAAAACACTTAAAAAGTACTTTTGAGAGAAGAACTAAATTAAAATAGCATTTTTGTATGAATTTTCTTGATTTTAGTTTGAATTCTTTGATTTGGGTTTATCTGCAGGTTCCATTTGTTTAGAGATGAAGACCTTTTGGGTACGCTACATGATTGATAGATTCATCCGACTCAATGGTGTGGTCGGATTGCGCTTTTTGCAAGAGGAGCTCATTCTGGTACTCTGAGTTGATTCTCTTCTCTTCCATGTTGTAGCTTCTTATTCACTGCAATATTGAAGGTTGCCATCATTTTATGGTTAGTTTTCCATTTGGATAAATCTTAATGGAAACTCTTTTCAGTTCATCGTTGCTTCTGTTGTGATTCCTTATCTTCATTCAGCATTTGTTTTGTTTTTCTAATGGGTAGGAGGAATAGAGAACTGTTGTATTTGATGGCTAAGGCTATTTTGTAGGAATTTGGGGGCTTTTTATAACATACGATTATGGAAATAAGATAGTTCTGAGTTGCTTCAATTACTTTGTTCTTTCTATTTTGTTTCCACTCGTTCTAAATCCAATGAGATACATAATTATTGGACTTGCATATTAAATAAAAAACAGTCTTGTGCGATCGAATTATGATGTTATGGATGGTTAATCTTGTGTTAAGTCATGTTTGTATCACATGAAAGAGGAGAATGAGTTGGAGTAATTATGGGGTACAGTTGTTTATATAGCCAAATGTGATGCACTGCCCCCAATGATTGTAATGTTCTCACTTCCATACCAGCGTAATATTTCTTTTTTCAGCAGTAAGTGATTCACTGTCAAAAAAATGAATTAAACGAGAATGGACTTCGAATTTCCATGTTTCATAGTAGATTGGCAACAGTATGGTAAATCTTCTTGAAAAGTAAAAATGTTGTTAGATTTTTATGTACAAGTTATTTTTAACAATTTTAGATAATTAAATAAATTATTATTGATTTGTTGTAATCAAATAGTTAATTATAATAATTTTATTAATTATGATAACTTATTGAGTTAATCTACAATAAAATAAATTAAGACGAAATGTTATCAAACCTTTATACAAATAATATTATTTTCTTAGTTATCTTAATACCTTCCAAACAATTTTATTGCATTTGTTAATTTATTTTATTTATATTATTGTTTTGTTATTAAGTTAAATTATTAAAATAGTTTTTAACTAATGAAAGTTTTCATTCTTTTTAAATTTATATTAAAAATTAACTACTAGTGTTATATTTCGAAGTATAGTTATTTTTATTTCACTCATTACTATTTTATGAGCTTTTTATAAACTATTTGAAAATGATTAATAAATAAAAAAAATTATAAAACAATTAATAAATAAAAATAAGTAGTGAAAGGGAAATTCCAAAAGATGCAAATACAAATAATTGAGAGAAAATAAAATAAGTTAAGTTATAAAAAGGATAATATAATCGTAAATAATCGAAATATATATAATCATATGTTAAAATACAACAAAGAAAGTAAAAGAAGAATTAAACGTGAAAGAAAATCAAGAAAAATAAATAATTATAAAAGAAATGATACAAAATAACAGAGAGAGAGAGAGAGAGAGAGAGATAAAGGATAGTTAAAAACCATCTTTGTATGGGTTTTAAAAAACATAAAATTCTCACTTTTTTGTCTAAAAAAACCTTTATAGACAAAAGGTTAAAATTCTCTCTTATCAAATACAAAAATTTTAATAATAATTTATTGATTTTTTTTTTAAATGGTAAACCATGTATATCTATGAAATTCAAATTGACACACGAGTATAGCAGTTAATTTCTTTTTTATTTGAGACATTTAAAAATTTTCTACAAAAATTAGAAGTAGAAAAATTATCCCATTAAAACGGTAAATTTTTTAGTAAACAAAAAAATAAAAATCATGTTTCTTAATGTTAAAACAAGTATGCATATTTATTTTCCTAAAATATGTAATTAGTTCTTAAATATTAATTTAGTTTTAGATAAGATAATGTTTTAAATGTAAAAAACGTAACAAGTGTAATGTAGAAGGTCGAACATGGGCGTGTATTGCGCACTTACACGTGTAGGAATGTTAATTATTAACTAATTAATAATTAATAAAATTGTATCGTATTTATCGATGTGATTGTGAAAAATCACACTACAAATATCTGTTAATCATAGATGTTCTTAAAAAGTATTTGGAACTCAACCATAGAAGAATCATATTATATAATAGTTATAATAATAACGTGAGAGAACCAAAATGAGAGAAAAATGTGAGATTTGCATTTTAAGATTTAAGAACATGTGGACACGTGGGATTGCCCGACAATTGTGGTGGCTGCCTCGTGCCTCCAGCTCACCACCTTCCACGTCTTCATTTAATCCAAATCTTCTTGCTTTCTTCTACTGCTTGGGACAAAAGCAAATCGGGTGGCTCACCACTTACCTGCCACCCACCCATGTGGCACTATGTCCTCCCTACACGTGGCCTATAAACCATGTGTTTTAAACTTTAATTTTAATTAAGTCAAATTATCAACTAAATAAAATAAATAAATAAAAAGATCTTAACCATTTAATAAGTTTATACACATCCAAACACGAAAACACCTTTAATGAAGTTGCCACGGGTACCCTACGCCCTTCCATTAAGGTACATGTCCCCTCCTAAATTCAATGAAAATAAATAAATAAATACCTGGACATTATATTATTTACAACTTTAATTTTTTTTTTAATTAATATTTTCCCCTTGGTATATAATTGAAATGAAATCTTAGTGCCAATCCTTTTCCTAATTTATCTACTAAAATTTTATTTATTTTAATATAAAAAAATCATATATATATATATATATATATATATATATATATATATTTTAATTTTAATAAGGTTAGAAATGTCTTTTTTTTCTTCTAAAATATATAATTTATGTAATCACGCCCGTAAACAATTATTATATTTCAATCAACATAAAATTAAAAGACGAATGTATCCTTTTTTTTGGTTCACGATAAAGTTTGGGATTTTTTCAAATTAATAAATTTTTGAGATTATACCTTAACTATAAAATTTCTAAAGTTTTTTTTTTTGTTTTTTTTTAATAATCATTTACATGTATTTAATGTTTTTAATGTAATAAAAAATAAATCTTAGATGGTAGGAGGAGATTAAAAAATAATTACAAGAATGAAAAGAAAAATCTAAAAAGAAGAAAAAAAGAGAGAGACGGAGATGATGAAGAAAAGCGAAGGAAGAAGAACAAAATAAAAGAGTTGAAGACGAGAAAGTTCGTTAAGAAAGTGGG